TGACCATTCCTCTTTATGCAAAAGGCCATGAACTACTAATGGAGATAAGGGAGGTTGTAGGCTAATGTGGCACATTAGTGTGCCTTTGACATTAATCATATTTTTGAATGAGCCAAACTGCATCCACCTTCATAATATGCCAAGAACAGCCCTGCCTAAGAGCCTTATGGGCTAGGACTTTGCCCCCCCCCCCCCCCCCGCCAAATGATTATCATAGAGGTGTATATCTCCTAGAGGATAATGTCCCCATCATCAAGTCTTAGCCACCCTCAAGTGGATAGGGTAGACTGATCCAACCATTATACAACTCTTCAAGCTTCAACTTTGTTATCATGCAAGTGTCCAGGGCATAGGTACTCTAAAATTGGATCCATCTAGCTCGGTTCAGACTGAATAGGGTAGACCAGCTTGTCCATTACTCCAATCCTGGGATGCAATACCTTTTCTATGAATACCAACTTATAGAAATCTGATCTAGCTGAGCTTGCCAACTTTAATTAGGCATCGGCTTGGGTGTTCTCCAACTGTGGGATCCATTGAAGAGTGAAGCTTTGAAAATGTGTAGCAAATTCTTGGATCTTGCTGAGATATTTGGATAGTATTAGCTCTCTTGCCTTGTATTCCCCATTCACATGATTGATGACCAATTGTGAGTGACTAAAAGCTTCGACTTGCTTTTCCACAACTCCTTAGATAAAGAGAGACTGGCTAGCAAAGCATCCTACTCGACTTCATTACTAGAGGAAGGGAAATTAAACCAAAGTGCAAACTTATTTGTTATGTCATCTGGGCTTAGAAGGATGAGGCCAATTGCAATCCTCTTAAGATTCGAGGGCTCGTCTATATGCAAAGTCAAAGTAGGTCGGAGTTCATCCGGTTGAGGTGTGCTACTACCACAAAAGGTACATTTGACAATGAAGTTTGCTAGTGCTTAAGCTTTGATGGCTGACTTCGACCTGTATATGATATCAAACTCTCCAATCTCTATGGCCCGCTTCATCAAACGACCTATGGTCTCAGGCTTTTAGATGATTTACCTTAAGGGTTGGTTGGTTAAGACCACCATGATATGGGTTTGGGAGTCAGATCTCAACTTTTGGGCCTAGGTAACTAGTGTGAATTCTATATTCTCTATGTCAGTATACCTTGTCTCAACGTCATAAGGATTTTGCTAACATAATACACTACCTATTGCACCCTTCATCTTCACAAACAATTATCAAGTTAACCACTACCTACTGATAAGTATAACTCTTCTCTTAACTTTGGTTTACTTAGCACAATGGGGAAGCCAACAACTCTTTAAAATCGCTACGACACTTCCATTCACTAGAAATCCTTCAACTTTTTAATTGTTCAAATGAAAAGCAAGCACTGAAATATTGTTTAAGACGTAAACTTGTTGTTACGGGCTACTATTCGGTCGATGAGCTTCTACACCTCCTTGGCCGACCTTGGAGGTTCCCGAGGATGTATTGGTTCTTCTTAGAGCTCACCACTACGCCTTGTTGTGTCACCATGAAGCTAATGAACTTACCCAAGGTCTTACAAGGGTACACTTAATTGGATTCAATCTCATTTGATATTTGCATAGGACTTCAAAGACCACATCAAGGTCGATAACTTGTTGGTCAGCTGGAAGGGTCTTCATGGCCATGTCATTCACATATGTTCCAACATTATAACCGTTATGATCATTGAAAATCTTGTTGACCAGTCTCTAGTTGGTTGCCCTAACATTAACCTAAACAGCATCACCTTGCAACAATACATGTTAGTCTTCATAATGGAGGTGGTCTTCTCTCCGTCGTTTGGGTGCATTTTTTTATCTAATTATATCAAGAGAAGGCATCTATGAAACTGAGGAGTTCATTCCTTCAGGCGGTGTTGATGAAGTGATTAATCCTTAGCAAGGGAAGTTGTCTTTAAGTAAAGTTTTATTTAAATATGTGAAATCAATGCAAAGACATAATTTCTTATTAGCCTTTCTTACCATAACCACATTAGCAATTATTAGTGTTGCTAATTGCATTGTTAATGAGTAATTGATTACACATCAATGCAGGGAGACCCAAAACACTAATTGAAGAGGTGTGTTGTATGTTAAGACATATTATGGACACACTAGTGAAGGGCGTTCATCTTCATATGGACTGATTATTCTTAGACATGTCCATTTTCCTTCAGCAACAAGATCTAAAAGTTCATCATTAGCAGGTAGAGATACTTGCAAGGAATTAACAAGATGGTCTGAAATCTGTGTCAGGTGCTTCTACTTCATCCACTTTAATAAAAGAAAATTTGTCCTGACTATTCATCACACTCAAGTTCAACTGATCCTTACGGTTATAGCAACACGGGATACCTAGGTTATTGTCACAGTTATATACACGGGATATCTATGCAGGTATCTACTCCTCTGTCCCAGCTTATTCTCTTGTAAATGTGAATTACACATATATCCTCTCTCGGCTCTTTATATGCATCCAAGATGATGGGGTATATCATATATGGTGCCAAGAGATAACCCTAGAGCAACCCAAGAGAATATCCATTAAAAGAAATCTCATCTTAGCCCTACATAGTTAAAACTAATCAAAACCCCCCACCAACCCTCTCATCCACAAACCAAACTCATCAATCAAACAGTGCATAAAAACAAAAGCTTACTAGCAATTCCAACCATCCGAAAAAAATGCATTCTGCTTTTTTTTTTCTCAATTAGTTTTCATCCTTTCTACAGCAAGATCTCCGGTGGTTTTTGCAGAATGAAGATGGAAAGCCTACAAATTGGAAAATGTGCCAAAAAATTGAAACCAACAAATATAGCATATTCTGTTAGCACATAGTCTATATCAGTCCATATCAACCAAGAGTCCAATACAAGTTAGACGTACTCCAATATAGACTGGCATGTCTGAAATGAATTGGCACAAACCCCTTTCCACCTGTGCCATGTCGGCTTATATGGAAATTGATACAATACACCCAATGAAATATTCCAAAATCTCTCATGTTGTAACCCGATTGTTTCATCTCTCTCTCTCCATGTCTTGTATTTTTTTAAGGATTTTAGATTTTCAATAAATTACAAGTAAAAAAGAAGATGCAATGTTTACAACCGGTTATATTAAACAGGTCTAACGTGAACAGATGGTTTTTACTCCAGGTAACAAATCAAGAGTATGGACTGGCGGTTTGGAAGCATCAGCTTTAAAAGTAGTGGACAACATGCTGGACAATGGAGATGCTAGACTGCTAGTCTTTGTCAAAATCCCGCATTGCACCATTACAAAGGAAAAGTAAAAGTAAAGCAACATAATGCATAATTCTTCCAGTATCGCCTTAATGGTAGAGGCAGGTGCTTATATTTAGATTTTAGACTGAAAATAATCAGAGAATTCAAGAAATTTTCAAATTCATAAAATATAAGTTTAAGCATAGAATGATAAAAATAATTTATTGAGAATGATGCAAAGAAACTTGGCTCAAACCCATAGATCCATTGAATCGGAATTCGGAAATCATTACTCCAACATGTATCAAGTACTTATCGGTGGTGCATATCTTACAATGCATATCAATTTCAGGGTCACGGACTTGTAAAAAAAGTTCAAGGTCACTGATTATAAATAGGAGTTAGTAGGGCAGGCAATTTTAACTCATACCCATTGACCACCCACACCTACCCATTTGAGTAATGGGTCAAGTCACCCATTTGGGTCATGAGTCCAGATCTGTTCCTCACAAAACACGCCTCACACTGACCTCACAGCATGTCCTGGCCGCACATGTGAACATTTCTATACTTGCATTTACTATTCAAGGGGAGATGTTCCCAATACAAGATGGAATGTCTCTGATGTCGGTATGAGGCATGCTCAGTGAGGAACAGATCCCAATTCTTGGGTCATAAAATAAGGGTCAGGGTGGGTTGGGTCAAGGATACCTAGGAGGGAGTTAACTTTTGCAGTTGGGGGCCAATAGCCTGTGCTGTTGAGAGTGCTTTTGGGTTTAACCCAATGTCTATCTTTTTGGACAAAAGGAAAATGGGCCAATTAATATTTTACCCCACTATCAATGTAGCGCAGCATTCCCAAAAATGTTCTCAAACAGCATAGCAGCCAAAGCTTTTTCCATAGGGTCGGGCACCTCTAACCCATCGTCAATTAGATGCTTATTCTTGACTCCACCAAATTGTAGTTGCAGAGGAGAAAAATCTGCTAGCAGTTATTGCTATAGCGATCATTGATGGACATCTCGGTATGTCTTTTTGCTTTTACTTCTTCGCAATGGCAATTACAGCAGGAATGATGGGACAGATTTCAATTTGGGTTGGAACTTGGAAGTATTGCAGCTTGAACAGTTGCTTCAGGAAAAGACGCAAGGTTGGGTTGCTTTTGACGAAAATGCACAGAAAAATATTAATCAATGCATCATCTCAAGGAAATGGGAATCCATGGATCCCATTTAGGGTTTAAAACAGAGGAAATAATACTTAGCGATGGTAATTACAGCAGTAATTTTCAATTTGGATTGAGTATGGCAGCTTGAACAGTTGCTTCAGGAAATGATGCACGGTTGGATTGGTTTTGACAAAAACGCACAGAAAACAATGGATCAATGCATCATCTCAAGGCAGGGGATCCAGGGAATCCATTTAATCCACTTTAGAAAAACTAAAAACGGTTTTGAATTTTGGAGGCATTCTCGATCTATTTGTAAAATGGGGACCGATTTGTAAAAAGGGTCTGGGAGGATGCAATGAATGGGAATGCTGCATTACGCCAGGGATGCTGTGATAGATTGAAGATGCAATAGTTGAGGATAATGCAATAGTTGTGATCGTTTGAAAATGCAATACTTGTCACTCCTTTTAAATTGGTAAAAACTGCTACTGCCCTCTCTTTGCTCTTTAACATAGTTTTTTCTTTTATTATTTGTCTACTTCTGGTAGTTAATAGGTTGGTTGATTTTTGTCTACTGCTACACTTGGAAGCTCCGGTAAGGGATCAAGTCCATTTACATTCCATCGTTAAGTTCTTCAACAGGTTACAGATTTTTTTCTACTGAATATGTGCAGAAAGATGCAAATGGCATTGGCCATCTGCCAATGTTGTCTGCCTATTATATTATGATTAGTTCACACAACCACTTCAAGCACTAAGAGAGAGAAATCATTATATACAATTAACTTTTAGTAAGATATCTTACTAAAATTTTACCACTACAAGTCCACAACCACGAGAATGCTTGGCTGGTTTCTTTCCTTCCCCGTATACTTCTTTCCCTATACCAAGACTTGAGAGCCTCATAGTTGTCTGACCGAGTAATACCATCCTCGCAGCAGAGCAGTTCAACCACTGAGAACAGCCAAGGATATGAAAAAAGGGTCCCTATCAGATGGGAGGGCAACGGCTTAAGTTATGTAGATCACCACCTACCGGTGCTGGTGGCACATCTGACAAGTGTCTGCAGATTTAATATTGGCATAGGTGCAATGCTCACAGGACCAGTGACCTGAATCATCCAATCGACTGGGACCTCGGGATGTTGTTCCTTTGCCTCTCCCTCCCCTTCCCTTGCCTCCTAAACTCTTTGAGCTTGCTGTTCTGCTGCAAGCAGCATGGGAATCCACATCTGACAACCCATTCTCCAGTGCCCGTACCAGGTTCTCGAAGTAATTCCGAGTTACACTGTCAGATAAAATAGAAAGAGACACAGTTAAAATTTGAATTATCTATTGTCAATAAATGCTGACACAAGGAAAAAGAAAAGAACCATGAGGATGTCGCAAGACTGAACAAAGTTTAACCAATCTAGAGCAGGAATCAATTTAGCCGATTATGTTTTTCCTTTGAAAAAGTATTGTATTAACAACAGAAAGGAAACAAATATAGAACATTTACACCCATTTGTTTACACAATTTCTGATCGCAAGATATTCCCTGTCAAAAAAATCAGTAATATTCTAGCCGTCTGAATTAACAAAATGGAAACAAATATAGAACATTTACGCCCATTTGTGTACAGCTACGAGTGAAGTACTTCTCAACAGAACCTGGTCATCAGACCTCAAGCTTTTAAAGATCCCAATATCTCTTTCACCCCAAACACACCAAAATACAGCTATTGGAATCATACCACATGATTTTCCCTCTCTTGTTCAGCCTTTCACATGCCAACTCAAGGAATGAATAAATGGACGGGGAAAAACAACCGACCCATCCTATGTATCAAGGACCACAACCCACACATTTATAAATATTAAGCTGTTTCCATCCCTTCAGAACAGAAAAGACATCCTACCTGGTTCAACACCATTCCCCTACTTAATAATTTAACACAGCTCAGACACTTTCTCCAAGGAAGCTATCCATACAAAGAACTTAATCTTGGAGGGAGCACCACTAATACCAAATTCTACTGGCAGGGAATTCACCGAGTTCCTCCCCATTTGAAGCACCTCCAGCAGCTGAACCATGTCCCAGTCATTCAGGTTTCTTTAAGTTGGGAACCAATTAACTAATCCACTGAAGATTGAGTAGCAGTCAGAGAATAGACCATTGTTATCACTACACCACCTTCTCAAGTCAGACATGCTCACTTTAGGAACATGAGACTGAACCATTTGAAGCACCTCCAGCAGCTGAACCATCTCCCAGTCATTCAGGTTTCTGAAAGTTGGGAACCAATTAACTACTCTGTTGAAGGTTGAGTAGCATCCAGAAACAGACCACTGTTCTCACTACACCGCCTTCTCAAGTCAGAACATGCTCACTTGAGGAACATGAGAGTATGAGACTGAACCTGAACCATATCCCAATCATTCAGGTTTGTTCTGAAAGTTGGGAACCAATTGACTATTCCGTAGGAGACTTGAGTAGCAGCGTCTAACCAAATATCCCTGTCCTGAGCATCCAAAACAAAAAAGAAATGGAACACAGATGTAACAAAGGATGCTCTGCCCATACCATTTGTCCACCCAGAACCTTGTTCCATTGCCATCTCCAACTCTAAATCCTCGAAGGAAAGAAGGGTATGCTTTTCCAATACGTTTCCAGACCAAAATGCCATTCCATGCCCATAACACCAAATGTAGCTTTGATCACTCTTCTCCACAGGTTGCCAGGTTCCTCACTGAAGCACCAGCACCATTTCCCAATCAAGGCCAGGTTGAATTTCTTCAGATTTCTGATCTCCAAGCTCCCAGCCTTCATCAGTTTGCAGACCCTGTCCCAGCTCAACAGATGGAATTTGAACTCTTCATTCCACCCCTTCAACAAGAAATCTCTCATTTTCTTTTCCAAAAGATGAGCCAGACCTGAAGGAATCCGGAAGAGCAAGAGGTAAAATGTAGGCAAAGCAGCTGAACACTATTAATAAGAACCACCTTCCTTCCACTGGATGGATACCTTGTTTTCCACAAGGCCAACAAGAACCAGCTTTCTATTTCTTATTAATTTAGCTGACAATTAAAATAGTTCATTTATAATATGATATTGAAGAACTAATATCACTGCAACCTAGGTTAAATAAGACCACATCACATACAACACAACTCAGGCTTTATCCCAACTACATGGGGTTGACTAGTGAATCCTGCTTTGCATTCCACTCCACATAGGGCTATATCCATGGAATATGATAAATAATGCAATAACCAAAAAAGATATGACTACTTGATCAGTTGAAGTAAAAGGCAGCCAACAAGAGGAATTAGTTCTACTCCAGAAAACTCCATTCTCCCGTCCAATAAAAGATACTTGAATGAAAATGCAATAACGACCATGCACTTGGTGAACTAAAAGTCTAAAACCATGAAGAGTGGATGGAGCTTTTTCAGTTTGCTTGCTTGTTTCAAGTAGGGTTGTTTCGTGTGAACTTTGTTAAGACAGAAAACATTTAACCTTGTAGGATGAAGCAGATCAAATTAGGCACATGAAACCACACAAAAATGTGTTCAGTTCTAGAAGATGAATTTTCTAATAATTACCTGGTTAGTCCAGCAAGCTTTGTACGGAATTCATTGAAATCTTCTGATGGGCCCTCTGCATTCAGATAAACTTGCAATTCCTTCTCAGCACATTGATGAAGCCGTTCTAACCCAGATTCAGCCTCTCCTACAAAACAAGAAGATATATCTTACATACGACTGGAAAAAAAGAGGATAACAAGAGAAGCAACTACTAATCTACTAATAGGGGTGCAACTCGGGTTGGCCCAACTTGAGCCTTTGGGCCAAACCCAGTGTTTTAAAAGCGCAAGGCGCAAAAAAAGCGTAAGGGCCAATTTGGGCCTGAGGCGCAAGGCGCAATTAAATAAAAAAAGATAAAAAATAAGAAAAAGGTCAGAAAATTCAAAAAAATGCCAAATTTTTTTCAAAAAACGCAAAAAAAAAATCAAAACAAAAATATTAAACCTAATGTTAATAAAAAATATAAACTAAAATTTTAAAATAAATGTTTTAAAAAGCCTATTATCTAAAATTAAAATATATAAAGATAAAATGTAAAGCATATTCAAATGAAAATTTAAAAATAAAAGCAAACATATAAAGCATTTTCAAGCATGTAAAACACACAATCTCTTTTTTTACTCAATTGCATTACTTCAAGTAGCTAATGTGATGTAAAACATATTGCATTCTTGATTCTATGAGTCGCCCTTGTACCACGCCCCTCAAGTCTGAAATTCTTCTCACATAAAAAATAATGATTTTATAACTTTCAATACCTTTTAAGAAGAGATTTTATTGCAATGAATGAATGAACAACATTAGCAAATAGGGGCATGGTCGGGTGTCCGGGGACAGAGCCCCCGGCCTAGGCTAGGCTGAGGCACAAGGCACTTCAGGCATATGCCTTTTGAAAGAGGTGCGCCTAGGACCTGAGCAAGGCGCATACCCCAAAATGCGTCTCGCCTATGTGCCTAGGCGCGCTTTTTAAATCACTGGCCAGACCCATTCAAAATTTTGACAAAAAACAACCCAAGCCCACCAAAGGTGCACACCTATCTACTAACAAAGAAAATTACCTTGCAGATACTCAAAGAACTGCCTTTTAGCATTTTCATGTTCAGGTAGGTAATATCCATAGGCATAAGTCCACTTGAGCACTCGCCTACATTCGACTATCTGCAACAAAAACCAAATTCAGTAAGAGGAGAACAAGGTTTGAGTCTGACAATGTGCACTTTGTGCAAGACTACTGGTTGCTATTAAACCTAGGGAACTACCCTACGATTTAATTTTCTTTTTATTATAAAAAGCCAATCACATAGGCAATGCCCAAGTGAGGAATCCAGATTTTCTCCTCACAGAGTGCTCCTCCCACCAACCTCACAAAACTTTCAGCAACACATTTGAAACATCTTCCATATTTATATATTGTCATTCATGGGGAGATGTTCCCAATGCATGGCTGTGATGTGCTGTGAGGAGCCAATCTGGTTTCAAAAGCAGATGCCTAGGTAACAATAGTTTCACCTTTCTGCCTTGAAAACTATTGACTATACATCAATATTTTCTCTTTTTTTTTTTCAATTTGATGCTGTCTAGTCTCAAAGCACTCACCAAATTGAAGCGTGAGGCATACACCTCACATAATTTGAGGCATAGACCTTGCCACATGAACAAGGTAGTTTGGCGTATGCCTCACTGGCTTTTAGAATCATAAAATAAACTTCAGCTTAGAGCATAAACATAACAACAGACGTTTTATAATAGTAATTAAATACAAAAGGATGATATGTTCATAATGTTTATCATAAACATAGAAACACAAATTTTGATTTTGCTCAGGAAAGGAACAGTTTGGTGAAAGAAAATTATTTTTTTGTAGATCGCAGAGTAAATATGGAGACCCTTTCTAACAAGGCATTTGAATGATTGGGAACTGCCTATGATCGTTGAGCTTCTCCAAGCCTTAAGGAAAGTGGAGACTAACGTGGAGAGTGAGGATAAAAGGTTGGGGAAGTGGGACACCAGATCAGACAGGTTTCCCTCAAAGTCTTCTTTACAATCCCAAAACAGGACTGGAGGTTATTCTCTTTCCAGCTTCTCTCATCTGGACTTCAACTGTCCCCCCCTCCCCCACCAAGGTGTCCTTTTTGGTTTGGAAGGCAGCATTTAATAAGTGCTTATACAAGGTAAATCTGGTAAGAAGGGGAGTACAGCTGAAAGATGAAACTAGCATTATGTGCTATACCTCACAATAGACAACTGATCACTTGTTTATTCACTACAAGACTTCAGAGGTGCTGTGGGTTTGGATGAAAAAGCTGTTCGATGTGAGTGTCATTCCTTTTCTCAGAAGCTGGGCCAGCTGGCAACCAAAAGAATTGAGTAAAGAAGGCTCTATTGTGTGGAAGGTCACTTTTCATGCTGTGATGTTGACTGTGTTTGGTCAGAAATAACTTTAAGAATTTTGAAAACAAGTTTGAATCTGAAGATAAGCTGAAAGCTATTCTAAAGGGGAGAATTGTCTTGGGTTGGGGTGCATAGACTGTTCAAAGGAAAGTCTTGTCATTTTCTTCATTTTGATTCCGACTCTTTTTGTAAATTAAAGGTCTGTCAAGTAAATTCCCATTGTATAGAACCTTGGTGCAGATAGGTTCCCTTAATGGTTGAATGAATATGCTTTAGCTTTTCAAAAGAAACATCGAATCAAAATGGGACATTGGAATTTGAAAGATAACAACTGCAGTTACATGTTTTCATTTGATGGATTTTGTATATGATATTATGATCTATCATATAGGATGACACATTTATAATCTTAAAAGTTTAATACCAATATATATTAATTCATCTTTTGCCCTTGCATGGGTATCACCATTTTTGCCAAGGCTGCTATGTATCCAAAATATGAGGTAGATGACAAAATTTAAGATTTACCTGTAACCAAGCCTCTGTTATGAATTTAAGCTGTGATTCTGGTTGAGATTGTTTATCGCTTAGCTTCTCAATCTGCAGATATCAAGAGAAATGTCAATCTGTATGCAATATGGCAATATGATAGTAACATAAACAAAAAAAACATATCTTTTGCCAAGGCTGCTGTGCATCATAGCAGGAATAGAAGTTCAACCCAGGAAATCTTACTAGGCAAAAAACCATCTTGACCAAGAGGATTGATTCAGAGCAATGTTTTAAAACGCGGAGGCATGACACAAGGCACTCCATTACCTAGAGCGTGAGGCGTAGTTCAGAATGTAAGAGGCATAAGCCTCCTGAACACAAGGAGGCGTAAACCTCCTTAAGAGGAGAGGAGGATGAGGAGGAACGCCTCCTTCCTTTCCTTTTCTTTTCTTTCTTTTTTTTTTTTGATGAATGATAATAAATTTATTAATTCAGAAGCATATTTAGAGTGAGTTCATACAACATCCCAGGGAGAGGCGCGAGCTGCAGCCCCTCCTTGAATCTTACAAGTAAACTAGGAAAGAAAAGCAAGAATCACAACTGAGCCCAAAACAATTCTTCCCTATTTACCCCTTGCTTGGCTAACACATCTGACAAAGTATTTGCTGATCTCCCCACCCACTGTACAGTGACCAACATATTCCTTGTCAACCAACTAAATTTCTTCATTTCATTCTTGTAACGCCACATAGCCTCTTCAGGATTTTTCAACCAACCCACCACTGCTTTGGAGTCCCCCTAAATTGTTAGGTGTTGTACCCCCAACTGGTTTGCAAATCGCACCCCTTGTACAGCAACTAAAAGTTGTGCCCTGATGGAGTCCTCAATTCCCAAGGGACCTGAGTAGAGCAACAAAACCTCTCCCTTCTCATTTCTCAAAGCACCCCCCATTCCGGATAATCCTGGATTACCCAAGCTACTTCCATCAAAGATCAACTTCAGTGAGCCTTCGGATGGAAGAGACCAGCTTGTAATTGATTTGTCCTTTAGGGATGAGCACCTCACTACTGCTAACCAATATCTCCAAAAGTCATTAAAGGAGAATTAATGAAAAATTTCCAAGGTCTTCAGCCAAGTTATTGCCCTATTTAACACAGTCTTTCAATTCCTAACTGCTCCTTTCCTTTTCTTGAAAAATTCTAGCATTCAATTCTTCCCAAAGAGTCCAAAACAAGGCAGCACGAGCACATCTCCACATAATTCTCCCTATTTTTGTAGGCCAATAAAAGGTAGAATGGTTGAAGAGCATGTGAACTTCTGCTGGTAGACTCCAACTGCTCCCAAACAACAAAAGTAGCCAAGCCCAAAAGTCTGTAGAAAAGGGACAAGATATTAATAGGTGGTAACAATCCTCACCATGAGCTCTACAGAGGATACACCAATTAGGAGAAATACAGAGGAAAGTTCTTCTCTTTTGTAGGTTATCTAGAGTGTTTACTTTCCCATGGAATACTTCCCAACAAAATGCCATAGTTTTTTGGGGAACTGGCCTGCACCAAATATTCTTTTCTTTCTTTTTCTTCCCCTTCCCTTTCTTTTCCTTTCCTTTCTTTTTTTTCTTTTTTTTTCCGTCTTTTTACATGAAGTGTGCAAGAGGCATACACCTCTAGCATGACTCATGAAAAAAGCATATGAGGCGTACGCCTAAGAGGTGTCAGCGCTTCTGGCATACGCCTTAGGGCATTTTGGGGACGCCTCACATGGAGGTATGCCTCCAGGCATACACCTCCTACGCCTTTAAAAACACTGGTTCAGAGGAAGCATATGCTGAACGTTACGAGAATTTTATTCAGAGCAAGCATATGAATTTATAGCTAGCATCCACAATTTGGTGAATGCATATACTGAGATGGATAGGTGGAAAAATTAGCTCCAATAGATGATAAAACGAAGTCATTTAAAAGAACCTATGAAGTAGCTCCAAGAGATGATAAAATGTGAGGTGAGGAAGTAGACTATGATGGTTTCATCACATGCATAGAAGACCACCAACAGCACCTGTAAGAAGAATTGATCTGTTGCAAGTTGAAGGGGCCTAGGGGTGGACCAAAAAGAACATGGATGATGATGGTCCACAATTTGGGGAGATCTTTTACGCTATGATACCCAAATAAGGATAGGGAGTTAGGGGCACAAACACATAGACAACTCTCCACTTACAAAAATTCTGGACAGAGGTGCATTAGGCATTTACAGGCATCTCGGTATCATGTTTCACCTACGAGTACCCTCAGTTCCAGCAGAAGCAATCATCACCATGTGAAATCTGTAACTGCAATTTTGTTCAAATTCACCAGTCATGGGAAATGTTTCACCATGGAGCTACTTTCAATGACACCTGCTGAAGAATGAAGACTAATCCCAAGCCTTCAGAATGTGAACTCCATAGGTTTCATACCTTAGCGAAGTCAGGTTAATATGGAGATTGATTCTATGAAGCCTTTTCTATGAAAGCTTCCTTTTTAATTCAGAACAGCCTTGACAATTGGCTAAAGAAAATTATAACCTATTAACAGTACGAGTTTGCAGCAGGTGGGCAATTAGGAGAAATTCTATGTCCCGTGGAAGCTGAGTTTCAATCTATTTGGAGGGCTCTTCTGTTAGCTTCTGAAAAGAATGGAAGGAAATCATCATCATCTCTGATGCCCATTTAGTTCTGAGGACTCATTTAGTTCAGTTTGTGTACAAACCTCGTACTTTCACTAAGGCAGCCCATGCTATAGCCCAAAACGTTAAGCAAATTGACAATGTGCCTTTTGATGGGCTTGTGATCCCCAAGTGGTTTGAACCTTTTGTATGGTGCCAGTTTGTTGATGTATCCTTTTTTTACTAATCAAAAAAAGGACACCTTATGCCTTTTTAGTTATGCAATACACAAGGGCATAGGTAGCTCTTATATATTAAGATGTTATGCCGCATTGGCATGCACTTCAAAAGGTTAACAGATTCACAAGCCACCTAGATCATATTACAATTAAGAGAAATTTGTATACCTGCACAGCTTGCATTTGCTGCAAATCTGCAAGAGCCTTTTGCCTCGACTGTGAGTAAACAAAAACAAAAGAAAAATTTTAGATGCAAAACAGGTAATGCTTTTTTATCAGCAACAAAAACCAAAATACTTTATTAGTATAACATACAAAAGCTTCCCACTCTGAAGTCAAGAGGCAAAGACAAAAATAAAGCACATGAACTAAAATTTTTATGAAGTCTGAAGATTTTGAACATCAAAGTAGCTAAGCATAACCTTTCAAGGATTTTTTTGTTCCACCAATAACAATCAACTTTATTGAACTATTGAAAATTTATGTACATGAAATGGTGACAATATGCTTCCCTAATATCAGGCCTTGTAGAGCTGCCTCCAATTCTGCCCTTGTACAAGTCCAACCCCCAAGTCCAATTGACTAGTTCCATGTTGGCTTGGCCCATGTTACCTTGTTCTTCTAGTTTAATAGGATTTACCTTTTGATTTTCAGTTTGCATTAGTAGGTACAAAGATATTGAGTTTCTTGATCCACAAGATGGGCAATACATCTTGTAATTATAATGAACAGTATTCCAGGCGACACAAGTTACTCTATAAATAGATGTATTCTCTTCCATTTGAAGCTAATGGTTTCTTTTTTTTATGCAAGTTTGCTATATGGTGTGATATCTACAAACCCTAGAGTGATTCTAGGCCCCATGGAGTGATTCCTTGGGGTTTCTTTCTTTTCCTCTTTCTCCTCTCTCCCTATACTTCTCTCCTATCTTTTCTTAGTTTATTCTAGCCCTGCGGCATCCTCTGTCCATTGAAAAAACAACATTTTTTATCTCTTCAACATCAAATTTCCTTCCCAACTATTCAAGAAAAGTCCCATCCAAAGAAAGCCAATCTAAACCAAGTACCTCCACCCTATCAGTCTCAGGTCTTTTGATTTTAAAACGGTCAACAAATATCTTTGCAATTTCCTCCTGATTTGTGATCTCTTACCAGTCTTTTATCAATTTGGATATAAAATTATTTTTCCTTCTTCTATTGGCTATTGCATTAAAAAACTTTGTATTGCCATCACCCTCTTTAATCCACCTATGTCTTGATTTTTTTATCAATAACTTATGTCTTGATTTTTGTCTCCAACACACCTCTTCTCCAAATAGGGTTGCATCTAGCTCCTTCAACTTCTACCTATGAAAATTTTCATCCTCACTGTTCTTGGGCTTCCTTCCTATTGAATTCTTCAATTTGAACAGTTATATTTTCCTTTTTCTCCTCTACCTGCCCAAAGTAATCCCTAATCCACTCCTTTATTTTGGATTTCAACCATTTTACCCTCTTGTAAAATTTTACTGCTTTCCATTTAAACCAAACCAGCTCTTCCACCACTTTCTACTTTATGCACAAACTCAAGGTGAGTTAGCCACATACTAAAATCTAAAGGGTGAAAGACCTCTCACAACTACTTCCTAACTAACCTAATTGGGCAATGGTCTAAAGTTACCCTACATAGGGCTTAATCCTACCCAATGAGATTCCCAAACTAAAGAGAAAAGGAATCTAACCAATTTTGAACAGGTTGGGTTGGTTTCGTAATTGGACCATGTGTACCTAGCATACAATAGAGAAAGCTCCTTGAGCACACATGAATCGATGAACTATTAAAATGCCTCGTACAGTGGTTACTTGCTAGTGGGATCCATAGTTTCATGAGAATACCTAATGACTTTTTTGATAAATGAAAAATACCTAATGACTTTTTATAAATGAAAATACCTAATGACATTAAAGTCTTCACCCACGCACCAAGGACCATCACAAAAGCCTCTATTTGCAAAAAGCTCCTCCCAATACTCGCTCCTCTACCCATACAAATTAGGTCCATAAATATTAGTCAAAAACCCATGTGCATCCATATTCCAAGCTTTTAAGTTTAAGTGACACCATGGGAATCTCAATTGGATCAGGAATTTGAAACTCACTACACAGCTTTTTGAACAAATGTCAAATCTTAAAGTAAATTTTGAGAAAAGTTGTATAGTAGGTGCAATGTTTTAAAATGTGGAAGCATGAGGCATAGTTCAGAATGTAAGAGGCGTAAGCCTCCTTAAGAAGAGGGGGGTTAGGAGGAAGAGGAAGGGGGATCTCATTTTTTTCTTTATTTTTGATAAAAATCTTTTATATAAAGAAGAATAAAAATGCACAACACTGGTTGAAAGGGGGTCTTGTCAAAGCGGAGCAAGACCCTCCCTAACACAAAAAAAGGGCTGCATTGAAGGGGGGGGGGGGGGGTCTGGAGGTCAAAGCCACCCAGCCAAAGGGACCAAGGCAGACCACTTTCTTTCCCCTGATCTTTTCTTTCCCTCCCTTTCTTTCTCTTTCTTTCTTTTATTTTCCTTTTTTTCTTTTTCCTTCTTTTGTCTTTTTATATGAGGTGTACACCTCTAGCATGCCCCATGAAAAAAAAACGCATGAGGTGTACGCCTCAAAGGTGTCAGCACCTCTGACATATGCCTCAAGGCATTTTGGGAGTGCCTCGCCTAGAGGCACACCTCCAAGCGTACACCTCCCATGCCTTTTAAAACACCGAGTAGGAGTTAATTTGGGGGAAGGGGAGATTCTAGTGTGTTGATATCTTGGAGTGTGCAGTGTCTAACTGACCTCTAAATTACCTTTGTTTGCCATTGGGAGATAGTCCACAGAGAGGAGGGTACTGAAATCTAAATGTGGAGAGGTTTGAGAAGAAACTGGCCTCGTGAAAGAAAATTTATCTCTCTCTTATAGAAAGAATCACCCTAATTAGGTCTGCCTGAGCTAACTTGTCTATTTTTTGTCAGTTTTCAAGGTCTCAGCAGGAGTGGCTAGCAAGTTAAGAGAAATTAATGAGGGATTTCCTTTCAGAACCAAGGGAGAAAAAGTACCATAGGGTTGGGTGGGAGGTGGTATGTAGGAAGTAAGAAGGATGGAAGCCTAGGCATTGGGAACATAAGGAAGAGAAATTTGACACTTTTAGAGAAATGGTTGTGGAGATTCTCACTAGAAAAGGAAAAGTTGTGGGTTAAGATAGTGGGTAGTATTCATGGGATCACAGAGAATGGATGGCACTCTGGTATTCTGGCAAGGACTACAAGGGCTTCTCCTTGGAAAGCAATCCAAGATGTTTTGCCTCTATTTTCTCCCTAGATGAGGTATGATTTGAAATCTAACCACCTCATTAAATTCTAGGAACAAGTTAGGGTTGGGGATTATCCTTTAAAAGACCAATTTCCAGCTCTATTTGCTATTTCTACCTTTAACAATGAACTGGTATCTTCCTTCCTTGCACCTTCTCACTCGACCTCTGGGTTTGGTTGGAATTTGGGTCTGAGAAGAGACATCAGGGACACAGAATTGGACAATACCTTATCCTTATTATCCATCCTTGATCGGATTTTCTTAGAGCCAACAAAGGTAGACTGTAGACAGAAGAATTTGGACCCTCTCTCCACCTGGTACTTTTTCTTGCGTTTCCTTCTTCAAAGCCCTCATTCAGCCAGTTGTCCCTCTTTGTTTGTCTTTTCCTGTTAAAGAAGTGTAGTGTCTACCTATACCTCAGAAGGTGGGAAGTTTTTGTTAGGAGGCCTTTCTACAAAGTTATTGGTGAGTCTGGGTATCACTTACTAATTTCCTGTCAATTTGCAAACTTTATTTGGGAATGGTATACTTCTTTGTTTGAGTGCAGGTGGAACTCTCCAATGAATGTGCAAAGCTTGTTTACTTCCTTACCTTCTAACCGGCCAACGAAAAGGGCAAGGATTGTGGAGATGCGTTAGGGCTGCAGTATGTTGGTCTATTTGGGAAGAAAGAAAAGCAAGGATTTTCTCAGAACAGGAGAGAAGTATGGAAGTAGTGGTAAAAGTGATTCACATAAGAGTAACTCATTGGCTGAAAACCTTGGATCTGTTTGCAGAATTTTCAGTTGATGATCTGAGTAGGAACTGGAAGGAAATTGCAAATTCATACTCAGCCAGGAAGGTCTCTAGCGCAAACTGGAATCCCCCACCTCTTGGGTGTACCAAACTGAATTTTTATGGCAGCAGCATGGGTAATCCAGGGCCTTCTGGAATAGGGGGAGTCATGAGGGATGAAAAAGGGAATGTAATTGCCATGTTCTCTGGCCCAATTGGATTGGGAAACTCATTGAGGCCTGAAATACTAGAAGCTTTGGAAGGGGTTCAAAGGGCTAAAGATCTGCATATAAACAAACTCATCATAGAAGGTGACTTCAAGACTATAGTGAGCTGGTTAAATGAACACAACTCAAGACTCTGGAGCTACAGCAATGAAAAGAGGAAATTTAACTGGCTGACAAAGGACATGAAAGTTTGGTGCACTTGGGTAAAGAGAAGTGTGAATGCTTTTGCAGATGGTTTAGCTAGAGAAGAGTTGAATAGGAATTCGGATTTTGGGCCCAATTGTGATTGTTTTTGTATCTTGTGTGTCTAGTGACAATTATGGGCAGTTAAGATAGTTTAGCTCCCCTTCCTTGCATTATTTTCCCTAAATTTTAAATGAAATCTCTGTTATTGATCAAAAAGAAAATTAAGTGACACCAAAAATCTCTATTAACTCCACACACTCCACATCATTTTTCCACAAAGTAACAAAGCCATTTGAAGCCCTACATGATGGTGCTAAAGACCAACTTATACCCCTAGAGCTCCAAACACTCCTATCCCATCTTCTATCCACTTTTAACTAAAAAAATCTGTGCATGAGTGGCTGTTAAATCATAAGGAAATAGCAGGAGATTCAAAGAAAAACCTCCTCATGATTTAGTTTGACAGCAGTGGTAGGGGAAATCCAAGGCAATCAGGTGTAAAGCCCAGGGATGAATGATGTAATGTAGTTGGAATGTTTCCAGGGCCAATTCATAATGTTAACTCAGTGAGGGCATAAGTTATGGTGGTGACAGAAGGGATTAGAAGAGTAAGAGGACGAGATATACAGAAATTATTTATAGAAGCTGATTCAAAGATGGTAATAGCATGGCTGTTAAATAATGAGGAGGTTCTGTGGATTTATAGAAACAAAGTTAAGAGGATTAGATGGATGACAAGGAATATGACTGTTTATGTGCAGTGGGCTCCAAGATCGGCCAACTCTATGGCTGACACTCTAGCTAAACCAGTGTTTTAAAAGCAAAAGGCAAAAGGCACAAGGGCCATTTTGCGCCTGAGGCGCAAGGCGAGGCGCACGGCTTTTTGAGGCAAGGCACACAATTTAAAAAAAAAAAATCAAAAAATTATAAAACATAATACTAATAAAAATATAAACTTACATTTTTAAATAAATGTTTTAAAAAACCCATTATCTAAAATTAAAATACATAAACATAATATGTAAAGCATATTCAAATGAGAATTTAAAAATTAAATCAAACATATAAAACATTTTCAAGCATATAAAACCCACAATCTCTTTTTCTCTCAATTGCATCAAGTAGCTAATGTGACATATTACATTCCTAATTCTACGAGCCGCCTTTGTGCCATGCCCCTCGAGGCAAGGAGCAAGGCACACCAACTAAGGCGCAAGGCGCACTAGGCGTGCGCCTTTTGAATGGGCTGTGCTAGGACCTGGGCAAGGCGCCTACCCTAAAATGTGCCTTTTAAATCACTGAGCTAAGCAAGGGGCTGCTGAGAGAGAACAAATTTTGGGCTTTGTTGTAATATATATGAGAGGGTGAGGGACCATTCTTTGTAAATTAGAATGTAAAGTTTGTATATATTATTCTCTTTTTAATGAAATTTATGTTATTCATCAAAAAAAGCAATGTGTATGAGCATATGCCAATCACCATACCCATCTAAACAAGCTGTTCATAATGGTGTTAGTGATCTTACCTCCTTTCCATCTTAGTGGCTGCAGACCATCCAAATGGCTTTTCTATAGGAAATGGTAACTTTCATTAATTCTGATAATTATAGAATTACAAGTGCCACCTTCCAAAAAGGTGACCCTCATAACATAATCAATTTACAAGCGTGCCCAAAATAAAGTCTCCCTAATAACCCCTTGCTTTGCTAAAACATCAGCCAATCAGTTTGCTGACCTCCTAACCCAGTTAAATTGTGCTCCTAGCTCCCTTGTCAAGTTCATTATTTCCTTTATATGCTAAGGGGGCAAGCGTCCAAATTATCCACCCTGGGACCAATTTTGAATCCCCCTCCACTTCTAAATGTTGGAAACCCAACTGTTTATCCCATCTGAGCCCTTGAAGGAAAAACAGATTTCACAAATTATGAGTTCTACGAAGTTGTAATTTAAGCATCCCATATCCCAATCGTTTAAAAAGCTACCCTATACAATCTTACCATCCACATTAATAGCGTAGTAGCATCTCATGACATGTCTAACCCACAAAAACATAGAAGATCTTCACATTAGTCTATCCCATACCAGCTATCACTACAAAAATCAATACCAGTGATAACACCTGATTTGTATATAGGCAACTAACTTTCTAATATGATCATATACTTTTGCAATAACGTTTCATATGATTAAACCATAAAACTCGAGTATCTGCAGCTCCCAATACACCTCTACCATACTTTCATTTATAGATTTGGCCACCATTATTTTCTGTTTTTGTTAAGATGTTAAAATCTGAAGTCGCACTACAACTAGCAGTTGATTTTGGTTTAAATATGTAACTTTCATCAGATTGATTACATTTTTAAATGTCTTTCTATTAACAAAGATATAATTCTACACAATGAAAATAAAAAATATATATATATATAATTCCAAGCAAAACCAGATCCCTTACACATTTGGATGCATCAAATTAGCATTAAAATCTACTAAGTCCATAGTTGCAGGCATAAATGAAGGCTATAAAAGCAGAATATATAAGAGGCCTCCCACAAAAGGTATGCTGTACAGGAAGTTCAAGTTCAATGTCCAAGGAGAGTTCAAGATTAGAGGAAGCAAAGAACAAAAGGTTCCTTAGCTATAGAGATACTTGTGCTCTTAATTAGAGGAACCTCTATTGGGAAAAAGGCACAGGCATTCCAGGAAGAAAAATAATAATTTTAACTCTACTTTTAACAAGATTGCAATTCAACGATGCTAAACAAGAGTGAAAAAAGCATGAAAGACAAGTTATACAGAAATCTATGTTAAATATCAAGCCAATACCCAAGAAAATATCATAAGTTGATCTACAGCACTGGTCCTCTGATGGCTTTCTGTATAGTAGTTTTAAGTTACCCTAGCCCTCATCTTTGTTTTGGACTCTCCTTGTGCACAATTCAAATTCTTACTTTTTGCTTTTACATTTTTTTGAAAACCTTTCCATATAAGGCCATACTACGTATTTATACTTTCTGAAGCATTAAATAAAATAGAAGAAATCAGTGATTTAAAAGGTAGGCACACAGGCGAGGTGCATTTTAGAGTAGGTACCTCACCTAGGTCCTAGACGCAGCACTTTCCAGAGGTTCAGCCCAGGCATGCGCCTTTTTAAAACTTTACACTTTTTTGCTTTTTTCAACCTAGTGGCTAGGCCGGGGGCCAGACCATAGTTACTTGAGGGGCTTGGTAACAATGCAGCTCATAGAATCAAGAATGCAATATGCTCTACATCACATGATTCACATTAGCTACTAGAAGCAATGCAATTGAGGAAAAAAAAGAGATTGTGGGTTTTACATGCTTGCAGTGATTTAAAAGGTGTGCCTCAGACGCGCCTAGGCGCACAAGTGAGGCACATTTTAGGGTATACACCTCACCCAGGTCCTAGGCACACCCCTTTCAAATGACGCACACCTGGTGCGCCTCAGACCAGGCATGCGCCTTTTTTAAATTCTACGTTCTTGGATTTTTTTCGAGCCTAATGGCTGGGCCAAGGGCTCCACCACCAGACCCCAAACCACAGCCCTTAAGGCATGCCCAAACGAATCCATGTTAAGGTCTTAAATTCTTGTTTCTCAAAAAAAAATAATGATTTATACAATATCTTCTTAAAAGGCAATTAAAGTTATCAAATCATTATTTCTTATGTGAGAAATAAGAATTTAAGACCCTAACATGGACTTGTTTGGGCTTGCCTAGAGGGGCGTGGTACAAAGGCAACTAGTAGAATCAAGAATGCAATATGTTTTACATCACATTAGCTAATTGAATTCATATAATTGAGGAAACAAAGAGATTGTGGGTTTTACATGCTTCAAATGCTTTATATGTTTGTTTTTATTTTTAAATTTTCATTTGAATACGCTTTACAAGTTATGTTTATGTATTTTCATTTTACATAATAGGTTTTTTAAAACATTATTTTAAACTTTAAGTTTATATTTTTTATTAACATTATGTTTAATATTTGTTGACTTTTTTGTATTTTTTGGCATTTTTTAATTTTCTGACACTTTTTTTTATTTTTAGCTTCCTTTTTCTATTTTTGTGCCTTGCTTCAAAAAGGTGTGCGCCTCACCTTGTGCTGGCCCTTGCACTTTTAAAGCACTACATGCTTGAAAATGTTTTATATGTTTTATTTTATTTTTAAATTTTCATTTGAATATGCTTTACACGTTACGTTTATGTATTTTAATTTTAGATAATAGGTTTTTTAAAACAGTTATTTTAAATTTTAAGTTTATATTTTTTAATAATATTATGTTTAATATTTTTTTGAATTTCTGACATTTTTGGCATTTTCTTGTATTTTTGTGCCTTGCTTCAAAAAGGTATGTGTCTCACCTTGTGCCTCAGGAGCAAATTGCCCCTTGTGCTTTTAAAACACTGCAAGAAACAATTTTCCAGGTGAGAAAGAAATGGCTTAGTTTAGCTGAACATACTGACTGATTGGTTGCCCATCGTTCATAATAATGAGTGTATCTCTCCAAGGAATTCTTAGCCATCTCTCTTCTTCTTTCAGTTTCATCATACTATAAACAACAAAAGAGAAGTTACTTTGATCCTCAACTAGAGATTCAAATTAAACTCAGAAGCATAGAGAAAATATTGCTTGGATTGTAACAGAACGGCATAAACATGTAGCATACCGCTCCCTCTTGCTTTGCCGTCTCATACCGATTACATGCATAGAAACCACCTGTCCTCTCACCATGATCTGACCATGCACCGAGGCACAGCCTGCAAACAATTTATATCATGCATTAACAAAATAAACATCATTTCTCTTGTAACAACATATTCTCTGCATAAAAAAGTATATCACAGAAGATATAATGTACCATGGACGAGTATTCCATGTACAATCTATTCATTATTTACTTTTTTGTTATAATTGAAAAATATTTAATAAATTAATAACCAAAAAGAGACAACTGTTACAAGAATCCCAGAGTAAGGCACAAGGTGCAGCCTTACTCTAAAATAAGGCTAAAAATAGACAACAAGAAACAGAGAAAAAAGTCTATTACATTACAGCCCACAACAATGTATCCCAGTTAACCCTTGTTTGGGAAGTGAGTCAGCTATACTGTTTGCCAATTGATCTTCTCACCAATTAGCATCTCACATTCATGGATCTTGTTAGCCAACTGACTTTCTTTATAATATCACTTAAAACCCATGCAACTGCGTCCAGAGACAACAACCATCCAATAACCACCTTAAACCTTCAATTATTAGATTTTCTACACCAAGTTGACTAGCTAGTTGAACCCCTTGTAATACTGCCATTATTTCAGCCCTGTTAGAGGTGCCTCTTCCCATAGGTCCCGAAAACAAAGCAAATATATTGCTATCCTTATCTTTTAGAACCCCTCAGATACCAGACAAATCAGGTTTACCTTGACTTGAGTACAACTAGCTAATTGTTTACAATTATTTTTTGATCAATAACAAATAACTTTTCATTAATAAAGATTAAGACTGGTTAGGGGAGATAAGCTCTTAACTCTCCCATCTGAGAAAGAATGCTGTCCAAAAATTCCAGATTACGTTACAAGTGAACCCAAAATAAAGAAACCCTATTCACCCCTTTTAACCCATATAAGTTTTATATCAATTTCCTTTGTTAGCCATTTGAACCTCTTATTTTAACCCATATAAGTGTTATACCAATGTCCTTTGTTAGTCATTTTAATCTCTTCTTCTCATTACTGTAGTTCCAAAGCCCATTCATTTCTTCCTTCAGTCTGCCCACCAACACTTTAAAGTCTCCTTCTATGATCAATTTTCAAATGCTTAGCCCTTTAGCTCTTTGTACTCCTTCTAAGACTGCCAAGATCTCAGCCCGAAGAGAGACACCTATACCAATTGGTCCTGAAAAAAGAGCAACAGAATTCCCTTCCTCATTCTTTAGTCTACCCCCAATGCCTGAAGGCCCTGAGTTTTCAGCACTACTTCATTATTTACAAATTACAACATAAGGATAAAAATCTTACCAGCAGAACTCAAATTTACAAGGAGGTGTGCATGTGATATGCATACAACCTTGATTCTTCTCAATAGGACGCTTGCACTTAGGGCAAGGCTTGGAGTTAGCTAATATCCTGGACATCACCAAATGAACAAAATATGTTAGTATTAAGCAGGAATATAGAGGAATAAACAGACACAAACACAAATTGTTTTTTGTGGTTTTAACTAAGCGGAAAAGGGCAGTATTAGCAAAGATATGCACCACTAGGACAGGATTTTGATATAACAGCAGGCACATTAGGAAGCAGGAGAAAAGATGAACATTTTATCAATAGGAAAAAGAATGTTCTCTTATGAAGCAGGAATTATCTGTTTTCTGAATCTCACTTGTTTCTGTAAGTTGTATTTTATGTGTTGCCATCCATGTGCTGTTGTTTACCCATGCAACTATCAATAATATGGAAGGTAGGGTTTTGTCATCATTAATAATCTTCTTTGACCATTGTTGCAACTTGCAATAAAAAACATATATTGATGGGCTAGCTGTAAGAATGGGCTTTAAGATGGAAAATCCAAAGGCACTTAAATCCTACGCTGGGAAAGGTAAAGGGGTGAGAGTGAAAACAAAGAGAAAAATGAATGAAGTGGAGAGACTCATTAATGATGTTGAAGGGGATAGGGAGTTCAGTGCTAGGGGAGAGAGAAGGAAAGGAGGGTTGTAGATTGGTAGAGGTTGGGGTTGTAATAGAAAGATTGTCATTAATATTATTAGTTGGAATGTCAGGGATCTAGGAAGTGCTACAAGAAGGAAAATTAAGGATGTTTTCAAAAAGGGAAAACCGGATATATTGTTGGTCCAAGAATCCAATTGTCAGGAGAATGACAAGAGATGGATAATAAGTGTTTAGAGTGAGAGGAACATTAGCTGGAGCTTTGCCCCATCCTGGGGTGCCTCAGGTGGTATATTAAGTTTATTAACTGTATGGAAGGAGAAAACAGTACAATGCATGGAAGAACTGATTGGAAATTTCAAAATATCTGTTAAGTTGAAAAATGTCCAAGATGGATTTGTGTGGGTTCACGAACATCTATACGGAAAGCAACCTTGGTAGGAAGAACTCCTATAGGGAAAGACTTTGGTGTGGGAACTGGGAAGAACTTGCAGATGTAAGGGGGCTTGGGAGAGAATTTGATGTCTAGGAGGAAATTTCAATGTAATTAGATTTGCCAGTGAGTCAAAGAGTATAAGACAGAGGGTGACTACCAGCATGAGAAGATTTAATGATTTCATAGAAGCTTTTGAGCTGAAAGAAATGCCTTTGGGATAATTCAGAGTCAGATGGTCAAACCTCCTGGCAAACCCTATATGCTCCAAATTAGACAAATTTCTAGTATCCTTGATTGGGAAGAATACTGGAGTGGCCTTTTCGGTAGTGTTCTACCCAATGTTTTAAAAGGCGTGGGAGGCATATGCTTGGAGGCGCGCCTCCAGGCAAGGCGCTCCCAAAATGCCTTGAGGCGTATGCCAGAGGCACTGACACCTTTGAGGCGTACGCCTCAAGTGCAAGAGGCGTAAACGGTACACCTCATGCACTTTTTCCATGAGGCATGCTAGAGGCGTATGCCTCATGTACATCTTATATAAAAAGACAAAAAAAAAAAAGGAAAGGAAGGGAAAGGAAAAGAAAGGGAATGAAATGAAAAAGAAAGAGAAGAAAAGAAAGAGAAAAGGAAAGAAAAGAAAAGATAATGAGAAAGAAAGTAGTTTGCCCCCTGCCCCTTTGGATCCGCTTTGAAAAGACCCCCCTTTCAACTAATGCTATGCATCTTTGTTCTTCTTAATATAAAAGATTTTTATTAAAAATAAGAAAAAATTTGAGAACCCCCCTTCCTCTTCATCCTTGTAACCCCCCTCTCTTAAGGACGCTTACACCTCCTTGTGTTCGGGAGGCTTGCGCCTCTTGCATTCTGAACTACGCCTCACGCCTCTAGGCAGTGGAATGCCTCGCATCACACCTCCACGTTTTAAAACATTAGAAGACATTCTAATATCTAATGAAGTAGAGGAAATTCCTTTAAAAATAATTAGTGTGTAAATATTAAAGAATATTAGTTCTAATCTGAAGACGAGTTGGCCTCAAGATTTAATTTAATTATGGGAGTCAAGTTTACTTATAAGGAGGGCTATATATAAATTTACCAATTCATATTTTCAGATTCAGCACTATTCTTCAGAATCCACTTGGCTACAGTGCCACAGTCCACTGGACGGTGAGCTTCCTCAGTACACTGCACGTTCAGATTCAAAAGATACTAGTTTATCATGTAAAAAGAACTGAAGAAAAAAAAAACAAATGAATGTTTCTAACTACCAAATGGTACTTACATTCCAACAAAAGCCATATGAACATTTGCACATAACATCGTAACTCCCACTACCAACAACAAAATCTACAGCATAATCACAGCCTGGTGCAGGACACCATTTGGTCTACAAACACCAAAATAAAGAAAAAAATTAAACAACCATGAATAGAAATTGTAATAGCACTTGCAGAATAAGAATTTGTTAAATGATGTACTTTGTAATTCAACCCCCAGATATACCTTTCTATTGTCTTCAATATAAGATCTAAGTAGGTAACGGGAATATTTCTCCTTATCTTCATTAGGTGCCAAAATGTTGATCATATCTTGACCAACAGCAGCACCACAAGATGGATCAGGACATCGCAACATCAAACATCCAGGACCATCATTAATTGAGGTGCTAATATAACCTGTGCAAAAAGAAGATTATTGTAATTTCCTGAAAGTATTAATAGATTCTTCAATTCTTTTTTTTTTTTGATAAATATAGATTCTTCAATTCTTCAGTTCAAATGAAAAAAAAAAGATCAATTAGAAGAACCAATGAGAGAGAGAGAGAAAGAGAGATCAAATAACAGGAAACTTTACCAGCATAGCAAAAATAGGGAAAAAAAGAAAAGGGAGAGAAACAGAAAAGTAGGAGGATAAAAAAAATCAGATATTAAAAGTCAATTAAAAATATCATGAATCAGTGATATTTTAATTAGACATCATTTGGGTAAGCTTTGGCTTTTGAACTTTTTAAAGTCCAAAGTAGAAAGCTAATTACAATAGGAAGGAAGTGGCTTGTTCAGCTCCTAACAAGAATTTTCCTCATCCATTGTGGTTTATTCCAGGGTCTGGTTTCATAAAGCTTAATTTTGATGGAAACAGTGAAGGAAACCCCACCCTTCGGGCATTGGAGGGGTCTTCAGGAATCAGGAGGGCGAGATTAATGCTATGTTTTCTGACCCAATTGGGAAGGAGATTCTCTCTGAGCTAAAGTGATAGTTTTCTTGGAAGGTGTCAAAAAGGCAAAGGGATTCAACATAAGAAGTTTGATTATTTAGGGAGACTCTAAATTTGTAATAGACTGGCTGAAAAAGGAGGAGAGTAGCATGTGGAGTTACTTCATACTTGAATGAAAAAGGAATCTTTAAATGCTTGGCTTGGGATAAGATAGTGAGTTTACAATGGGTCAAGAGGTGTGCTAATTCCTTTGCAGATGCAAAGGCCAAACAAGGGTTGGCAAGAAATCATTTGTTCTGGGCTTATATGTAATTTTTTAGCTTTTTGGGGTAGCTAATAGAGTTATCTCGCCCCTGCCTTTGTACAAATCTCTCATTTTCCTTAATGAAATGTCCATCAAAGAAATAATAGATGAAACAGTCCATTAATCATAAGATCATCCTTTCCCATCCAGTCCATCAAAGAAATAATAGACGAAACAGTCTATTAAACATAAGATGATCATCCTTTCACATTCAATGCACCAAAGAAATAATAGATGAAATAGTCCATTAGCATTCTTTTTTTTGGAAAGATAATATAAAGATTTCATTGAAAAAACACAGAAAATACAAGGGGAAAGGTGATAAGATATCACCCAAGAGAAAACAGACTCAAAATCGAAGAGCACCAAGCGAACAACAAGACCAAATACTCCAAAGACTGATGACATAAAGTTTAAAGTAAGTGACCACGAAGCAAACACTCAACGCCGTTCAAACCCAAAAACAAGAGTCACAAGACTTAACCGAAAAAGAAACACAGGGGCCCCCAAATGGTCACCCTGATCCTCCTCTTCAAAGGCTTCCTCCTGACCCATGTCATCCTTGTTCCAAATTTCTCCTCCTTGACCTACTATGGCCTTAGACCTCTCTTCCCACCTCTTCTTCTGAAACTCCTCAAAGACTTTTCTGGCAAACTCCTTCCTCCCCAGAAAAGCAGCGCAAGACCCCTGCCCACCTCCACATCCCTATTAACAAGACCTTTAATTGGCACACTCCCTTGCCTCAACCCCTCATCTCTTGAGGACAACTCCTGACCTTTCATTCCAGGATTCACCCCCCCCCTCTTTCCCCTTCTAAGACGAAAGTCCCAAACTTGGGATGGGCTACAAATGAAACTTGAGCATCCCAACAATTCGACTCAGACTTCAGCACCATTGGCTTCCTCCCACTTCTCTTAAAAATCCTCTTGTATCTATTCATAGGCCCTGCCCCCCACTAAACCATCCTTAAGCTGCAAGACCAAGGTTCAAAATTTCAATACAGGCCGATATGCCGGTTGGGCCATATCAGCATGTACCAAGGCTCACATTTATTTCTTTTTTAGTTTTTTTTTTTTCAAACTGGTTCAGAGGAGTCAGTTTAAGGCCCATCTACCCCCTGAACCAGGTCAGGCCCCAAAAGACCCACTGTAGGGGCGAATCAAGAGGCAGCGATACGAAATGTATCAGGAATATCATTTTCAAAAAAAAATATCATTCTCAAAAAATCATAACAGAATTCAGACATAAGAAAATAAGAGATAACAAAATTTCTGAAAAATAAAAGTTTTCCCAATTCAAACTTCAAACTTGAAGCTCCAATCATCCAAAAACCAAAAGGGTTGCCGACTTGAAGGCTTGCATCCGTCAAATGATTAAATCACTAAGGGATAACAGAAAAATTAGAAAAACAATATAGAATAGAATGAAAAGGCTGCTATTTGGATGTAAATCGCAGTATCGCACTATATATTAGAATTAGAATTTGAGAGTTTTGAGTATTAGAAAATTAAAAAAAACAACAAAAATGAAATGAAAACTTGTCCAACAAAGAGGCTAAAACATTGAATGTAAATCATCCAAAACTCCAGATCCGATTGCAGGTCGCCGGAGATAATCACTGTAGTTGCTGGCACTAAATCTCTCATTCAACGATGGTGGGATCTCTGTTCTCTTCTTCTGAAAGACAGAAACTCCAGATCTGATTGCAGGTCACTGGAGATAATCACCGTAGTTGCCGGCGCTAAATCTCTCATTTAACGGGTGGGATCTCTGTTCTCTTCTTCTGAAAGACAAAAACTCTCTTTTGTTTCCTCTCAGAAAAAACCCTCCAAAACTCCAGATCTGATTGCAGGTCGCCAGAGATAACCACTATAGTTGCTAACACTAAATCTCTCATTCAACAATGGTGGGATCTCTGTTCTCTAATTCTAAAAGACAGAAATTCCTCTTTTGATTCTTCTCAACAAGACCCTAAATTGAAAAAAAGTAAAAGGAGAAGGAAAATAGGGTTGGGGTCGGGCAAAGGGTTAGGACATGACCGGCATTTTCAAAAATTTTAGACCTAACCGTCACCTGCTAGTGGGGTCGTCCGGGTCAACGATTTGCTGACTTGGTTAACAGTTTTTCATTAAAAGATGGGTTTTAGTGAAACCGGAACCAAAAATGTGGCCAGACGACAGTTCGAACGGTTCGACCATCTAGCTCACCGATGGGTTAAAAACATTGGTTTAAAACATAATAGGGATATTGTTTCTGTATGAGAAAGTGTAGACTACAGCCAAATGGAGGGGGTGTTAAGATACAATCAAATTGGTGTTTTAACACATAACATTATACATACGAATGGGGGTTTAATATAATAAAACACCCTATAATACGAAAGGATGGGGGTTTAATAGAACACAACATAAACATTCAAATAGGGATTTCATAGAACATGATAGAAGACATGAGCATGGGGGTTTCACACAACAAATGCAAAAATACAAGGAATAAAAGGGTTTTAAGATGCCATATTTGGGAGTGGAATCGAACATTGGATCTATGACAAACTAGTTAGGGTTTCTTTCAAAAGAGGAATGGACTTACCGTGGAAGAGAGTTGAGAGAGATGAAAGTGACGAGATAGTCGGGAGGGTCGAGTCACATTTCGGTCAAAAAGCCCAAAGTTTTTCTTTTTGAAGGTAAAGTAATAATTTTATTGAATCAGAAAACTCAGTACAACAAAAGAGCAAGCCACAAGTAGCTGCTCAGTTTTCAGGACAAGTTACAGATCCCAAATCGAAGTAGACTTAACTAATACAGGAACATTTAGCTCTTTAAAATCAGGTGTAACAGCCACCCAAGAAATCAGCTTGTTGATCGCCTGTTGTACTATCTCCTCCGTACTCTTAGCTTTGTTGCTGAAGATTCTTCTATTCCTTTCAGACCAAATTACCCACACCACTGCCGCAGGAATAGTTCTCCAAATTAAACTACCTTTTTTCTTCAAACCTTGGAGGTTCCAGCAAAGCAACAGATCTTTAACTGACTTTGGCATAACCCAATTAAGACCAGCCGCTCCAATGAAATGGTACCAGACTTTTGAGGAGATAGGACAATGTAAGCACAGATGGTCGGTGGACTCAGGCAACAAGGCACACAACCCACACATCAGAGAAGGGAGCTGAATGCCCCTTCTGTCCAGGTTGAGTCTTGAGAGACATTTGTTCAGCACCATAGTCCAAACAAGGAATACAGACTTTGAGGGAGCACAGGACTTCCATACTTGCTGGTAGGGGAACTCAGTAATACCTGTACTACTAAGCTTCAAGGTAAGGGATTTGTCTAAGAAGCAGCCATCCTTACTCCAGGACCAACTCCATTCATCTTCACCTGCAATGTCTATCGTCTGCTCCTGTAAAATCTGCAGAAGTTGCATCACACCTTCTATTTCCCAATCAAACAAATCTCTTCTGAACTGAGGGTTCCAGATCACTGAGTTGTTAGAAATCACATAAGACTCTGCCACTAAAATTTCTTGATGAACTGCACATTGAAACAGAAAGGGGAAACGCCTCAGCTAAAGGTCTGTCCATGCACCAGGGATCTTTCCAGAATTTCAGCCTATTTCCACTTCCCACTTTTAGTCTCACTCCCTCATACATCACAGGAAAAGATTTTAGAATCCCTTTCCAAACCGAACAAGCCCATGTCGTGTATGGATCCTGAGATTTCCAATTACCCCAATCCACACCAAATTTTGTTGCAATTAAAGTCCTCCACCAAGAGGATCTTTCTGCTGCAAATCTCCAGCACCATTTACTCAATAAAGCAAAATTGACCACCTTTAATCTTCTAAGACCTAATCCACCCTCTGCCTTAGGAAGACAAACTTGATCCCAATTCACAAGGTGCACCTTCTTCTCTTCTTCCCACCCTCTCCAGAGAAAATCTCTCTGCATCTTCTCAAACCTTCTTTGTAATTTTGGATGCATAGGAAACATGGACATGAAGTAGGGAGGTTGGCAAGGGTACTCTTGATAAGGACCATTCTCCCTCCTATAGACAGATATTTTGCCTTCCAGGATGCCAATTTTTCCCCACTCTCTCAATTACTGGATCCCATAAAGCAGAAGAATAACATTTGGCACCTAGTGGGGAGGCCAAGGTACTTAACTGGCAAGTAATCCACCTGGCAGGCCATCAATCTAGAAAAAGAATCCAAATTAGGAACAAGGCTCAACGGGGTTATCTTACTTTTATGAAGATTAACTTTTAGGCCTGAAACAACTTCAAACCAACAAAGAATATCAAGTAGAACATCCACCTGGTCAAAAGAGGCATCAAGGAAACAGAGAGTGTCGTCAGCAAACTGCAATAAATTAACTTTTTCCGCATCGAAGCAATTGCAAAACCATCCCACAAGCCATTTTTGCTGCCTTTAAAGAGAATTGAGTCAGGATTTCTGATATACAGATAAAAAGAGCAGTGGAGATAGTGGATCCCCCTGTCTAAGACCCCTCGTACTATCAAAAAACCCTACTGACCGTCCATTAATCAACACCGAGAATTTGGGAGAAGAAACACAAACTTTTATCCAATTTCTCCATTTCTGACCAAAATTCATTCTCTCCAGAACCTGATCCAAACACCTCCAATTTACATGGTCATATGCTTTTTCCATATCCAGCTTTACAACCAGTCCCAGGGAACCCTCCCTTAATCTTGAGTCAATAAGCTCATTTGCAATCAAGACAGAATTAGGGATGGCAATTTCCCCGTAAAACCGAGGCCCCACCCCGCCACGAACGGGGTGGGTTTCCCCAACCCTAAACAGGGACGGAGCGGGGACGAGGAAAATATTTTTCCTGAACCGGGGACAGGGCGAGGACGGGTTTTATATATAATTCCCGATCCCGCCCCAATCCCGAAGGTAAATTAGTAAAACATCTCTAGGTTTAATATTGATATTTAAAATATCTCTAAGTTTTTCTAAATTCTTAAAATCCTCAAATCCCATAATTTTATTTTTGAATTACCCCTAAAGTATTATAATTCAATTCCTAAAATACCCCTAAATTCCTAATATCCTATGTATAAATTGTTCATAAAATAGATAATTTTTAAGTAGTTGCCTTGGAACGGGGAAAATTCAGGAATTCCCCATCCCCGATGGGGAATGGATGCCCCGCCCCGCCCCGCCCTGCCACCGTGGATGGGGAGGGTACGGGGCAAAGTATTTTGACTTCGGAGTAGGGACGGGGAGGGGGCGCCCCACCCCATTGCCATTCCTAGACAGAATCCAGCATTTGTCTCCTCGGTACAAAAGCAAACTGATTATTAGAAATAACACTATTTAGCACTTTCTTCATTCTCATTGCTAACACCTTTCTGAGAATCTTGTAGAAGCTATTTCGGGATTTCAACCCTTAATTGACTTTGGCTTCAAGAAGTAGGCGCTACCAAATAAACAAAGTAAACTTTTGGCTTTTCGAACTTTTGAAAGCCAAAAGTCCAAAAGTAAAAGCTTATCCTAACAGCATCTTACTTAATACAGTTAAACTCAACAAGGAGACTTGTTCCAAGCAAACAAATTTATTGTAAGGGGGAAAGTTGGACAATAAGTGCAATAAAAAATAGATCTCTTTTGAAGAAGCTCGGGATTTCCAACCAATTTATTCCCCATAACACATTGAATCTTCAATGATACAACCAAGACATAATGATGACAAGTGAACTCAAATACAGAGGACCTTTAATTGATACAACAATTTCAACTGACAAGATGCAATAATAACTACTGAAACCCAATATCTTCAACTTCAGGTGATATAACTCTGCCTGGAGGCAGGATCTGGGAACTTCATAAGCACAAAAGACAAAAAGGATAAATAGGGTTCAACCGAACTCCAAGTATCACCAAAAGATCTCCCTTGATGTTTTTTCTCCTACTTAAGAGATATGAACGTTCTCCTTAAGAGAATAAACAACAAATAAAGATTTTGAAAAGTATATGCTCCATCAGCACACAAAAGATTTGCATTAGCCCTCCTTTTGTTTAATAATGCAAATGTAATATGGGTTATAAGGGTCAAAAGGCCAAGAGTACAAGAGAAGATAGGAGACAAGACAAGGAAAATGAAGGAAGCAAATCAATGGAGACTCCAGATCAAGACCTCTCCCCTTTCCTTTGAAGTTTGAACCCTATGAAACTACCAAAGAACCAGAATAACAGAATACAGTCATTTATCTTTAGAGTGGAACCCAGAAGATTATAACTAATAATCTTGTCAGAAAATTCTAAGTTAATCCAAACTACAGTGTAATAAACCTGTCCAACATGTGCTACAATAAATTCAGCCAAATCACAAATACGACAAACCTGTCCAACATGTGCTACAAAATGGATGACCACAAGCAGCAGCATGCATCCTATCACGAGGATACATCTCAAAACAGATTCCACAAGTCAGCTGCCATTGTCACCCATGCTATAATTAGTAACATCCTCAAGGCTTTACTGTGCAATCAAGCTTTCAGTCCAAGTATTAAATAATAATTTGCTCTATAACAATGCAGGATGCTTACTTCTCTAACATTTTTAGGAATGTGAACCACTGGTTTCTCCAGCAAGCCAACTGCCTTTCGTACTTTTTCCTCATCTGCAAACCATGCATCATGCACTTTGCTGACACTCCTGAACAATCCAAAAACATAGTTCCTCAGAATATGATGATAAAAGGATATCAACGAACTTAGGAAGACTAGGTCAGTAGCATATAGAATGTTCTCCATTCTCCTTGGGCACACATGGTTATCAAGCATTCAAAAATGATATATGAGCAAGAATCAATGCCAACCTTAACAAGACAAGAACTCAAATGACTGAGAAGGATTATGAATCAGCCACCTAACTAACAAAAACATTTTATCATCAACACTTTGATGAGTTCACATGATAGACATGGACGAACTGTCAAAAAGAAAAATGTTCAATTTAGGATGTATCTCATGTTTTCAATTATTATACTAATAAATTTTCTACATAGACCAACTATTTCTAATTCCAATCTTTTTTACACAACACTAGCAAGAACTAAACCGTGTGACACTAATTAAAAAATCTGAACAAAGAGCCTACATTTTTATTTTTTCCAAATTGACACATCCATAAATATTTGTCACACTGTTGCATCACAAAATGATTGTTTGGAGTCGAAGTTGATTGGAGGTAGAAAAATAAAAACAGGCAATTACCAGTTATAGTGACGGAGCAGAATGCTAGCTGAAACTTTTGGTATAGAAAGCACAGTAGATATTACTGATATATCTTCCTCCTGACGCTGATGTATATCATCCTCATTCAAAATAGTATAGTTTTGCTGAAATACAGAAAGCCCAACATGTTAACATAAAAGGCAATAAAAAACATCCATGGCAAGGTGTTTAAAACATCCCCCCATTTAACAGATAATAACCAATAAAAACAACCATGTGTGTTACACCCCATAAGGGAACTCCATAATAGCTGATATGTACGCACAATTAAACATTTAAAGAAAATGCCCATGAAATTTCCATAGAAGCATTTTTGTTTTCTTTTTTGTTTTTTATTAACAAGTTTCCATTGAAACATTTTAAAGATGATGGAGAATCCACTTGTTTACAGGAATTTGCTAGAACCCACTAAACACAAACAGAAGTTCTTGCAATGCTTAGACAGTTAGGCTTTCTAAATAAGCCACTTAGTACCTCACATGACGTAGGCTTTTATGCATTATTTAAGTTTTCCATTTATATCATTAAAAATGATCAGAAGAGATTGTATTAAAGATGCAAAGGGCCCTTACTACCAATATGTACTAGAAGGGAAAATAAACAAACAAGTTCAAAAACATCATATAGTGATACAGAGATGACAAAAAAAAGCAGGAGCTGACGATTTCTATAAAGCAACACAAGATCGGAATAACCTAGGAAAGATTAATCATAAATTGATTGGATATCGCCAATTAGGTTAAAAAAAAAACACATGTTTGTATGGATATTGAATCTGGGATTTTTACATATTAGAGTAAAATTCAATAAATCATTCATACATTACATGATATGGGTGGAGAATTAACAGACTGTCAGCATAATCCACTAATCCCAGTATAAACACAAAAGCTATCTGGACAAAAAAAAAAATCAAACACTGATATAGCAGAGCCAAAATAGCATCAAAACACTACGATCAACAAAAATTCCAAAACCAGAACAAACTCCAACAAAACCGAAAATCGTTTCTCATCAAATGCTCAGCCCTTTAAAACTTTCAACTTTTGGGCCCCATCGACCGGAATTCACCTGCTGCCGATGCGATGTGGTGTCATCCGAATCATCCGTATCATTAAAATCGTAATCCCCATCATCATCGTCACTCGCCATCGCCGTCTCACCACTGTAGAAATCATCGAGGGATTCCACATCGTTCGCGTCGTGCATATCGTCTTCCGAATCCATTCAGCCCACCAAACCAGAAACTCAAAACCCTCAAAACCCTAAAATTCTTCAAGGTGCACACCGACCTGTCGTTGGACCAAAATACACAACTCGACAACTGCGAATTAGGGCACAGAAAACGCGCAAAGTCGGACGAATTTTGAGTCCAGAAACGAAGAGAACCGATCCAACAACTGCCAATACGATCAATTTCGAAAGGAATTGAAGATTTCGAAACAAAATGGATTTTGGAGCGAGAACAAACGGATACCAATCAATGAAATGGGGTGTGGCTTTGGTTTCCACGGTTCTGGTTTGGTTTGCGCTCTTCGCCCAACAGACAAGCATCCATAGGTTTATACTTTATAAAATATATAATTTAGAAGAAAGGTACGATTTGGGCCAACTTTTGAGTTCTAATTCCACTTTAAGTCGATCAAATAATGTAACTTAAAATACATTCTTCATTATTTTTTTAAGAGTTGATTGTCCCGGAATACACCTGAACTTTCAGCATTATGACTTACACTACCCTTCTGTCATTTGTCCGTCACATTCCCTTTACACGTCATATCACGAGAAACTTTTAATTTTTAGAAAAACTCTTGCCCTTACCAATGACCTAACACTAAAGAGGCTTTTATGCAAAATTTCTCGAAAAGAGAGATAGATTTTATAAAAAACGAAAAACAAAAATACTTATTCTAATTAAATAATTATTAGATATGGATGAGATTTGTAAGGAAAAGTGTAAGGAATGTATTCGGGTTATGGTTGAACTGGCTCAGACGCTACGTGTAGCCTTCGTGGTCAATTTATTTATTCAACCATGTTAGCGCCACGTCACTTCGGCCCATTTTATCTCTTCGGCCACGTTAGCACTATGTCATGTGGATAACTGCGACCAGTACAAGAGATAAGCGTATGGATGATGACAACTCCACTCGAGATTATGACTTATCCTGAGAACTTCAACGGGCAGCCTCATCCCGATAACCCCAGAAGTCTCATCCAGTCAGGACACGAATCTTCGGCTATAAAAAAGTACCTCCCACTCAAGGTAAAGGATATAACCTTTAACTTCTATACTGTTACTTTGCTCGAATCAACACCATTCTCTAACTGCTCAGTCCGACCAACCACCTTTCCCGACTAACTTGAGCGTCGGAGTACCTACCCGGGGATAATTCCTCGGGCCTCTGACTGTTTTCTTGATTTCAGATCTTGAAGTGCGGCTTCATCCTTCCACCTCAGCTCCGCACAGTTGGCAGGATTATTTGACTGCGACCTCGATTCAAGAACCACCTCGGATCGAGCAGCATCAGATTGGCGCCATCTGTAGGAAACACACAAAAAGCATTTCCAAAGTTCTCTTCTTACTGTGTGATCAAGAACAATGCCAAGGAACACATCTGAACGCTCAATAGGTCGATCCCCATCTTAGGGATCCCACTCTCATCGCAGTGCTCTGCACTACAAAACTCAGCAATCTCAGCAACAAGTCGCGGTCGACCCCGCCTAGTTCCAAGCAATGCAAGAAAATGTCGACCATATCTTGGCGATGATGTAGTCGATGGGGTCTACAGCACAGCCTTAGACCATCCCCCCTCCAGCTCGACGCATTTTTAGGCCAATCCTCATCCTAAGGACCCCAAAAAGTGTCGATCGGACAAGGATAGGACGCGGTCCGACCAAGAAAAACAAACTTCAAGAAGATCGTGCTCCTCGGCCCGGTCACGTGAATGTGACAACCGTAGCCAAATACACCAATCTGCCCGAATTCCAACGAACAAAAAGGCTTAGTGGATGGATGTCACAACAACCGATCTCCGTCACCGAGTCCAGTTCGGTCAAAGATCGCCCAACACAAGAAAAAAAGAGACACACCTGTTGCGCCCCCAGACAACATGGATACAGAAATCAGAGAACTCCGACAATGCCTAACCGAGTTGGAACATAGCCAAGCTCAAAGGAGCACAACCTCTCCCATGATTGAGCCGCCCTTCACACATAACATTGTGGACGAGCTCACCCCAGCTGGATGGCGAGCATCGCAGTTTGAGAGGTAGGACGGATCCATGGACCATAGTGACCACATCGAAACCTTCAAAGCACATATGATGTTGCAACGCTTGTCCAAGGGCTTGATGTGCAAAGCGTTCGTGGCGACTCTTAAAGGAGTAGCTTTGACTTGGTACTCCTCCCTTCCCCCATGCTCTATCCCCTCTTGGGAACAGCTTGAGAGCTAGTTCCTGGCACAATTCACGACCAGTAAGAAGCACTGGAAAACTTCGGCAAGTCTCATGCAAGTGCGGCAGAGGAAGGGAGAGTTCCTTAGATAATACCTCGCTAGGTTCAACATCGAAACCTTATAGGTTCGGCCATTGAACCAGTCAATGGCCGTCACATCCATTTAGCACGGCCTGCGCCCCTCGCCATTCAACTTTTCAATCTCCAAAAATCCTTCTCAGACTATAGCCGCGTTGATGAACCACACCCAAAAAATACTTCAACGTCAAAGAAGCGCAAGCACATCAGAGGAATGAGGAGGAGTAGCTCGATAGGAAGAGGAGAGATCCAAATGACTACAAGGCTGAAAGGGCGGAGAAGGACATCAAAAGAAAAGACTGCTGGTCAGATAGAAGACCGAGGTCACCATAGCCGACCTACCGAAATTTCACGCCGTTGAACATACCGCAATCTGAAATTCTAATGCATATTTGTGACTACAATTATGTCAGATGGCCCAGGAAGATGAAGTCACAAAGCAACAAGAGAAACCCGGATGAGTACTACAAGTTCCACCGAGACCACGACCACGACATCGACAACTGTTACGATTTGTGCCACCACATCGAGGGCCTAGTCAGGCGCGGGTACCATGGTGGGTTCATCAACAACAAGGACGAGAAGGCAAATGAAGACCAGCGCCTAGCACCCAAACCTCCAGCCCAGGCTCCTCCAATCGGGGTCATCGTCGTGATCTCAGGAGTGCGGTTGCTCAAGATCGACGAAAGCGAGCAGAAAAAGGCGGGAGGACCCAATCACCTTCACAGAGGATGACTTCTGAGGTGTCCAAACCTCACACCAGGAGAAGGAAAGCTCTAACCGAAGTGGGAAGGACCTTACAAGTCGCCAAAGTGCTCGGACCTGGTACCCATAAATTAGAAGACCTCGACAGAAGGCCTGTACCGATGAGTTAGAATACCGGGATTCTAAGAATGTACTATCAGTGAATCTACAACAATAAAGAGAGCATTTTCAACAATTAGTTGTTCAACGCACGTGACATAGCATACACTGCACACATGACACAACACATATTGCACAGTACGCCCTGCGCGACGAGCACTGCCCACTCGGCCCCTAATGGTTGGACCATTCACGCACCAACTCTAAAACTTGTTTGACTAATCAACCGGTATCATAAATGTGGTAGTCAATCAAGTGTTATTTATCAAAATTCATTGGTGTATTTTGATTGATCAAAACTCTTATGATACCCTATCTTTCCCACTGAAGGGATGAGAGATCCATCATATGGATGACCGAACCCTGTAGGAAGGTAGGGAAAATTTTCAAAAATTTCTCTCTCTCCCATGTGGGAATCACATTCCCTATTTTAGAAATTTGCATTTTCAATGATCAATCTAGAACCTGAACCAAAAAAGATCTGAAACCAAAAGGGAGTGGAGGGTTATACCTGATACGAAATAATAGTAACGTCCAATGAAGGTGTTCACGCCCAAGGAAAGATCCGAAAACTGCTTCCACCGAAAATGACACGGTGCAGGACGAAACAAAATCAGCAGGATGGTTCTTCAGCAAGAATTTGATGGGGGGTTAGTGAGCACGACTTCATATCACCTTTTCTGCCAAAAGATGATATCAAGAACCCATTCTTGATCGCTCCCACAGGAGCAGGAGAGAGCAAGAGCAGAAGATAGAGGCAGTCCAACTTTATGCTATCTTCTCTCTTGAATCAGTAGACTGAAGGGTGAATTGGAGGTTCGCCTTGCTCCTCTATTTATAGCCTTAAATGCAGCATTTTCTAATCCCATTAGGAGTTTCCTAATCCAAATCTTATATTTGGATATGTACTCTCTTTAAGAGATAATGATAATCATTTATCTTATCTACAGATAAAGATTAGCCCTCCTAATCTAATTAGGAGTTTCTATATCCAAATCTCTATTTGGATTTGGACTCTCTGAGTGGATAGGGACAACCCCTCTTTAATTAATCTTATTAAGCTCAGTTCGAATTGGGCTTTAGGCCCATAAAGTCTATGTGCTCACTTATCCTCCAAACTGTTGCCTAGTTGGATGTTCTTGTATTGCGTGGGACCCAAACATTGATCTACACATCAGCCACAAGGGTTCAACCCAGCCTCTGTTACAAGGCATGACTGAATTCATTGTAGGAGACAGTGAACCCCTGAGCCCATCACTATAGACTCTTAATGGGCCCAACATTTACACTAAATGGTCATTGAGTCCAGTCACCTTATGAAAACCCAAGGACTGTGAGCAGATGCAAGATTAGCCCATCAGCTATTACCCTCAATGGTCTTACACTTAACCTCTCAACCCATAATGATCAAACACTACTCGACAAGAGAGGACCTTTCCCTCGGCTGCATGGAGCAGTGTTGCACTCTCTACTCACATGGATCACATGAATTAAAACCAATTGCAAACATTTTGAAACCATAATATATATGTATATCTTTATATAAATATATTTTGCAAAAACAAATTTCAACGGTTGAAATCAACTGCCGACAATTTAGGTTTCCATTAGAGAGAGTGCATTCCCCGACCATTCACTTTGTCCGGCAAAGGGGTTGATCCTGTAACTATGACCATTCACTTTGTCCGACAAAGGGGTTGATCCTGTAACTATGACCATTCACTTTGTCCGGTAATATATATGTGTGATATTATTTATATCATATATGTATCCCAATATCTTTAAATTATTATTTATATTTTAACATTTCATTTAATTTAAGTAAATTTTTTTTTCAAAAAATAATGTCAATTGAAAAAAAAGGGATTTGGGTCCCCACTTGAAACCCATCTCCGCCAAGGATCAGAGGTGGAGGATAACTTTTTATCATGGGAGTTGGATTTAGGGATGAGAATTTATTTCAAAATTAGGGGTGTGGTCGTGGAATATTATCCCTACCCCATTGCCATTCCTAAGTTTAGGGGTTACTTAGCTTGGTCCCTACTCATTAGAGCTATCAATCGACTCTAAAAGTCCACTACCTGATTCAACTTTGAGTCTGATTAGCTTGGATTTTGGTGTTAGAACTTGCATCCAGTTAATAATTGGATCAAATGGGGTTAAAAAC